GAAAATATCTCAAATCAATAATCTAACTTACGACCTCAAGAAACTACAGAAAAGAGGGGCAAAATAAATCTAAGGTGGACAGAGGGAAGGAAATAATAAAATAAAGACAGGAGCAGAAATCGAAGAAATTGAAACATCAAAGCAAAAGAGAAAAATCAATGAAACATGGAGCTAATTCTTGGAAAAAAGCAATAAAATTGATAAATCTAGCAAGATATAGTAATAAGTAATAAAATAATAAGATAATAAGAATAAAAATTTAAAAAATTAAAATGGTCACTATCAGGAATGAAACAGGATATCACAACACATCCTGAAATTATTAAAAGACATTAAACAACAAGTTTATGCTCCTAACTTCAACAACTTGTAAAAAACAGGTCAATTCCTTGATGACCACAAACTACCAAAACTCCATGAATATAGAATAGATAATCTGAATGGTCCTATAATCATGAAGAAATTAACTCATAATTTAAAAGCTCCAGAAATTATATTAAGATAAAAAATTTTTTAAAAGCGCTTCTGAAAATCTCCGGGCTCGGGGGTTTTCACTAGATAATTTTACCAAACATTTAAAGAAGATTTAGCACTAATGTTATACAACCTCTTCCCAAAGATAGAAGGGGAGGGAACACTTTTCAATTCAATTTATGAGGCCAGTATTATTCTGATACAAAACCTAGATTCTTTCTCAAATGCTCCTTTGCAAAAATACATAGGACTTTGTAAGTTTATTTTGTTGTTTTTTAGATGTCCAAGATTTTTGGAAGGCCAAAAATGAAGCTACATACATTTCTTTTTACGTTAAAGTGAAAAGGAAATTTGGAGTTGGAAACAACATCGAAGAGAAACTCTTTTTTAATTTTCCTTTCCTTTGTAACAAGTGATTTGAACATAAATGCCTCGGCTGCTCTCTGCCATTTGTTGCTATTGACCAACTCTGCAAAATAATATGGAACCCCATGCTGAGCAGCGAGGCAAAAATCCAGGGTTCCCAATTTTCTGCTTTTAAGCCAACCTGTGTACCTAAATAATTAATTTAATATTACCTGCCTCTGGAACATGAGCATCTTACTTTAGTTCTGGCATGCCAGTTTCTATATGATTCTCCATGTAAAGGCACCCCTAGAAACCGTGTTTACACTGTTCCTGTAAAGCAGTTAACATGCAGGTTTAAAGACAGTCAAGCCTGGGTGCTTTTCCCAACTCAGTCGACCTTGGGACCTAGGGTAATTTATTTCACCTCCCTGGGCAATGGTTTCTTCCATCTGTAAAACAGATATGCTAGAATGTCTTTTGTAAATTTGTGGTGGAGATTAAATTAAGGTTGTAGATACTTAGCCTAGCAACTAGCCCACAAGAGGCCCTCAACCTATAGTAGATATAATTATTGCTAATATTTTTGTGACTTTAACGATGTTTTTCAAGGAGGGTAAAACTATAGCAAAAACGGTGCTAACTAAGAGCAGCATGATACCTGACTACTAAAATAAACCTAAAACATGAGGAAATGAAAAATTGGTTCATCCGCACTTCATTTCAATGTTTGACCTTGGAGAAAATTTGTTCCCAGTTAAGCCACTCTCACTTGCAAAGCCAGAATGATTTAAAGCCAAGTCTTGCAAAGCCAGAATGATTTAAAAACTATAGCCTTTTCAGCTATAACCTGATAACTGCTTTTCTATGCAGACCTGGGTTATCAACAATGGCCTCATAAAGAAAATTGTCTCCCCACTATTAGAAGTGCCTGATAATGTTAGATTGGCAATACATTTTTTTCCATTAGAGACATTTTTATATTAAAGATTTTAATTTTTTCACATACCTACCTACCAAATCCAAATATCACTGTGCTTATCTACCATTTGATTTCTCCAAAATTTCTCAACATTCATGGTCTTTATTTAGAATCACCATCAGCATAGGCTTCTTTTTCTGCATGCTTAGGGCATTTACCACCCATTGATAGGATAAAGAACACAAAATCACCAGGAAGAAGAACTTGTGCGCCCTTTCAGGGCCTCAGTGTAACTCATATGTCCTATTTAATCAACTGTAGAGTATCCAGTTCACTTTGTAAAAATTGACTGTGCAGAGTTTGAAAGTCTAGGAAAGATGTAGTAACTGACAGAGATTTCAACTCTGGCAAGAAGGTAGAAGGAAGAGATGTTTTGATTGCAATTAAATAAAGATTAAGAGCAGTGCAAAGAAGAAAATTGGGATTAAAATCTCATTTAGCTCTAATTGACATAATTTTGTCCTGCTCAAACGCTTAATAATGTGATAGCTGAGGATGCTATGACACAACCTGGTGTCAGCACCAGATGAGGATGGGAGAGAGTCAGATCCCAGGACAAACGACTGAAGGAGACAGGAAGAAGAGTAAGTCAGAACATCACTGTGGGAGTGTGACATGCACAAGGTGTACCTCCAAGTTACTCCAGAAAATGTGGCTTTTACAGTTATCTAAAGAGGCTTTTTCCTCTACAAGATGGTCCATCAGCATGGAGTAGCTGTCATAAATAACTCTGCCACACCCCTTTGGATAATCTCTGTTGGTCTCACTAGGCTCAAAAAAGGACTCCCAGCTGTAGGAATCAGAGCCTCTATGCACTATCAAAGAGCCATCATGTGACCGGGGTTACCTGGATTATTCTGCTAATAGCATTAAGTGATTCTTTGTGAGGTCATCTGTTTTCCAAAATACTCGGTAAATTCAGCACTTCAGTGGAAAATGTGTTGGGATTTTAGATCAGATATCAGATGTGGTGGTCACAAAAACTAAGAGCTCAAAGGTCTCAGTCTGCATGTGTATATCAATGCTGTTACTTCTGAGGGCATAATTTCTCATCTAGCATTTCACTTTTCTCACCTCCTCACCTCCCATAGACTGCATTAACTGCCACTCACTTCCTTGACACTTCAAGCACTGCCTTTGCTTCCATTTTGAGCATGAGCTGCTTTAGCATGCATTCTTCTCATTATAGCTTCATTGTCTCACCTTAGAGATGGCATTTCCTGAGTGACGAGAGAGCAAGGGACAGAGGTAAGCCACCAGGTTGCTATGGAATGCAGATGGGGGCCAGTCAGGTCTCTCTAAGATGAAGGAGAGTGTTTCTGCATCCCTGAATTTTCTCATCATGTTTTATGAAAGAATAAAATATGCCACACATATTTTCTTTCATGTAGACATTCATCAGTTAAGTTAGTGGAGAGGAGAAACAGAAATGTAGGAGTCAGTGGGGAAGCCTAGATTTTCTGTAAATCTAATTCTGTTGCCCAGTTAACTTATTCATCCAACTTTCTCAGCCCATCACAGAGATCCAGAGTTTACAGGTTTAGCAGATGTTAGCATATTTGTTACCATGGTCCAGTATGTGAGGACACTCTGCCACAAGACTGAAATAATCTTTTTTTAAAAACTGTCACACAATGGCATTAAACTAAATAAAATTCATTATAGTTAGGTATCTTTATCTTTCTTCTTCTAAAAACACTGGTAACCAAAAAGAAGACTTCTCCATGTTGTCTGAACCAAGATCTAGAAGATTATAAACGAACTCTTTAATTAACATTAGTGGAAGAAAATAAGATAGTTCAGAATGCAGGCAACACATTACTATAGTAAGTATCTAAATTGACAGCCCAGTTACCACCAAAATGATAGGCATGATAACATTTCCCACAATTCAGAGAAAATATGGCCAAATGATTTTCTTAAAATAACCAATAATGTGAGAGACTTTTTTTGTGTGTTCTTAATTATTGTAAATGTATAAAGTCAATTCGGAGGTCAAATACATTCTTTCCAGAACTAACACAGTGTTGAAACAAGACAAAATCTTGCTGTCTTCTATAGGTCTCTCTATTTCTTCTCCCACAGACTTTAAATAGGCCATGAGATAAACTAAAGAACATATAGCCATCCACCACACAGAGAATTTAATTCCTTTTCCAATCTGACAAAATGCTAGCAGTGTCAGCATTAGTATTCCTAGGGTGTCCATGATTGGTACTAATCCTTAGCAAGGATTGCACTTTTTTTTTTCACAGCTTATAAAAATAGTACATGTCATGTATATATTACATATATATATATATATATATATATCTGTACATGTTGCATATGCATATATACATATACATTCAGTGCAGAAATCAGATCACCAAGCAGGCATTTATGAGCAGCAGCGGGGAGCACATGCTCTTGAACATGACCTACTTACAGAAGGCAGAGTCTCCTAGTCAGGCGGTCTTCAGCATGACAATTAGCAGTTTTTCCCCCGCAGTTTGGTCAGCAGGAATGACACAAACCTCTCCCTAGCACAAGTCACTCAGCCCTGCTGGATTCTGCTGCTCTCTGGGTAACGGCATTCCATTAGGAGTGTGACACAGTAGGGAAAGAGACCGGTTCACTGTGAGACCTGCTACTCACTCTCGTACAGTGTATCGGCCCCCCTTCCCACTGCACAGTGGCTGCCGGGCTCTGGGCAGGAGGCATGTGGCCATCGTGAAAGTGAACCACGGAGTCAGAGTTCCACCGAGACACACGCTGCATTGTCAGTAGCCTTCTTCTAAAGACGGTGCTTTTTTAGCATGTTATTGAAACAACTTAATTTGCTTCCCTAGCCTTAGGAATAGAGGGAGTTCTTGCTTTAAATTGGAGAGGGGAAAGAAAAAAAGAAAGTGAACTAGGAAGATAGGGATGTGGTTGTGGCTGTCTCTCTGCTTTAAAATAAACTAAGAGGATCAAAAAACAATTTATAAAGACTGTTTAGCATGCACGCCTGGGATGCTAGATGGGCGTTTGCTTCACCTTCTTGTACTGATTACTTTTCCACCTAGAGTCAATCAAATGCTTTGTTATCTTCTTTGGGTAGGGGAAACGTGCTGATTTAAACTACCAAGCTTGGATACGCATCCAAACAATACAGCTACAGATTCACCAGCAAAAGTAACTGGATTGGAGGAAAAGATGGGAAACAGATTCCAAGTACCTGCTTGCTGGGCTGCCTGCGGCATCTGCTGACTCCTCTGGGCATTGTACTGAACTGAGGCCATGGGCCGGTACTGTTGTGTGGTTGAGGTAGGGTACTGACCAGATGGGTAATAATACACAGGCATCTATGGAGAAAAGGGGAAAAAAAAACAGGTAATGAGAACTGTGCATAAAGTAATTTTTTAAAGATAAAATATATTGTCATCTTATAACTGTGATAGATTATAAAGATGGCTACCACAAACTTTCCCCATGTCTGTGTGTATGTGCATGGTACTACTGTGAAGAGGTGAAATTCACTCCCCAAGCTATGAATCTGAGCTGGTTCTGTGACTTGCTTTGACCAATGCAATGAGGCAGAAATGATGTCTGAGGCTGGCAAGCCTGATCCTTAAGAAGACTGGCAGCTTCCACTCCTGCAGGAAGGGAATCCAGCCACTAGGTAAAATCTAGGCCATTCTGCTGGAGAAAGAGTCCGTGTGGAGAACAAAGGCACCCCAATAGACTGGATACCCTCAAGTTCTAGACCTGTGAGTGCAGCCCCAGTAAAGCTACCCGAGCCATATGGAGCAGAGATGAACCATCTGTGATAAGATCTGCTCAACTACTGACCTAGTCATGAGCAATACAGTGGCTATTTTAAAACAACCATTTTGGGATTTTTAAATTAAACAAGAGAGAACGAAACAGTTATCATCAACAACAAAAAAATCTATGGTAGTTTTAAATATTATATGTAACTTGTATTGTTTTTCAAATGGAAACACAGGTGAGACATGAAAACTGCCCATCTCTAGCCTAAAAGAAGCAGATAATGCAGTTAGGAAATATGAAAAACTCTATCAAAGCACATTGCACAGTGACTGGTACTTAGCCAGGATCCAAAAAAATTTATGTTCATCCTAAAAGGGAAAGTATGTTAAAATATTTTTATGCCATCTTCTTAATATTCTAATGACTGAGAATGAACAAAAATATTCTAATTACTTCCAATAAGATGCAAATCAAATATGTCCTGACCTAGAAAGACTTCTTTGCCTGTCTCAGGTCATTTTTATTAAGGCTATTTTCTTACTACTCTTAGTTAATTATTTTGCATCTCCAGGCCTTGATTTTTCTCCTATCATCTTTTTTAAAAGTGACCACAGAGGCACCCCAGTACACAGCCTGCAAGTACTATAGATGTAGAGTAAAATTAACAGCCAATTATTTTAGAACTGTGATTTTTTATGGCTATTTTATTTTCTTATTTGCTCATGTCAAATAGGAAAGACTTTTCTATCCAATCTTGTTATTGAAACATATGTAACACATTTTCCTGCTTTAGGATAAGTAGGAACAAAAGATAATCCGTGTGGACCTGTGATTCTGCAATTCCATGGAATCATTATGAATTATAATTGTGACTACCTAATAACATGGATATTCAAGGGTAAGAAGCTGAACAAGTCTAAAGCAATCATGGGTCAGTTCCTAGCAACTAAATAATTTATTGCAGGGGTCCTCAAACTTTTTAAACAGGGGGCCGGTTCACTGTCCCTCAGACCGTTGGAGGGCCGGACTATGGTTTAAAAAAAACTATGAACAAATTCCTATGCACACTGCACATATCTTATTTTGAAGTAAAAAAACAAACAGGCAAAAACACCCGCATGTGGCCCGCGGGCCGTAGTTTGAGGACGCCCAATTTATTGTATGCATTGTTTATAGTGATTTAATCTTACTATTTCTCCTTTTTTTATATAAAGCAGTTCGTAATAATAAAAACCCAAATAATTCTGGAATAATAATAGGATTTAGTTGTGCTCTGGCAAACTGTGGTGCTATTAAAGGTTACTATTAATGCCATTATGCACCAAATGCCTCCCAGTACTAAGAATAAGAACAACTATCATCTAATTTATTTATAAGTATTATATTTACATGCCTTTTAGGAAAGATAGCATTTTGTTCCTTTAGAAAAGACTGTGTCTTGATTAAATATCAGTTCATGAATGTGATATCCATTCCTTGATCTCCCTTTTCACATTGAATGTAAAACATGAAAATACCTTCAGGTATGAAGGATGGAGTTCAAACACTTGAAAATTGCCTGATGAGCACTAATGGTTTAGATAAAAGCACAACAGGTAAAAAAAAAAATAAATAAATAAAGTCATTTCATTTTTAGTACTCAAGTTTTTTTTTATTTATTTGTTTTGTTTTTGTTATCTTCCCCTAGACCTGCCTTCTTTGATACCTTGACAGGGTGTGCTAGAGGTTTAGCATCTTCCATCCAATGCCACTCCAAGCATTGGCCAGCTGTTAGGAATTATGGCCCCCAACCATATGAAACGAACCAACACCTGGCCCATCCTCACCCTCCCTCAGAGAGGAAGAAGAGGGAGCTGGGATTAAAGGATCAGTATGAATGGTGCAAAAGGAGAGGGAGAAGGAAGAAAGGAGTAATGGTATCTCAAAAGGGAGAAAATATATACTTTCAACCAACCATGTTAAAATATAATCAAGAAGTGAGCTGAATTAGGAGTAAAATGAAGTAAATAAAAGAAAGGAGAAACTACTAAAAATAAACAAATCTCCCATTTTCCTTCTTCAAATCCCTCTTTACTTCACGCATGTGTTTCCCACTTCACCCTTCCAGTGGGCATTTAGAAAGCACACATCATGAGTCAGATGAAATTAACTTTCCAGTTTATTAAATAGATTCAGTCTCTTCATAAATTTAACATATTTCCACATATGTCCATGGGCTGAATCTCAACTCAGTTCTCTTAATTTTTCTACAGTTTGATAACCAGATTTTAATGTTTACTAATGAGTTTTTTTTACTTGTAGTTCTTGAAAAAGAAGTTCATAGTGTCATGACTGATCATGAACCATGAACATCCATTTGTCTCCCTCCCTTTCTACTTTTTATATCTACTGAAGAGGGAATAAAAACATTTCCATTGCAGACACACTAGGAGTTCTGAATTGTCTTTGTTTCTGCATTGTCACTAGTAATAATATTGAAATTCCTTCATTGGGGAAGGACTTTTTTTTTTAAGCCTTCAATTAAACATTCTGCCAACTCTTCTCTTTGACAGCAGAAATGAGTAAGGACACAGATGCTATTTAGGTGAAAAGAGCTAAATTATTTTTTTCCCAATAATTAAGCTTGAAGTATTTAATTTATTAGTGAAATAATTAATACATTAATGAAGCCCTTTCCCCTGTAACTTAAAATTATTTTACACATCTCCTTAAATCCCACCAGTGAAGAGAAGGCAACTGAAGATGAACTATTAATTAATCATTCAAGATAAAATGAACAACTGAGTGACAATCATTTCATGGTAGAGGATTTTGTGTGGCTTGAAAAGAAAATAATTTATTCAAGATGTTAAGGCAATGAAACAAATGATAAAAAGGTGACACTGCACTTTAAACAGCTCATCCAATAATGCAATACTTCATAATTAGGATGGAATTTGCTTGGGATATGTGTGCCTTGAAAATGGACGAGAAAATGCCTCTGTGCATTTTATATCTTGACAGTAATCACTTCCAATATTCTGCAAGAAATACCCAGGGGAGCACCAGAGATGTTTGGTGGTGAACAGTAACACATAATCAGTCTTTGAGAAGACAGTAAAAATCAGTGATCTGTGGTGTCTTACATGCTCAAGTCAATTAAATGTGATTAATGGCTACCTGTGAGAGCTCTGCCTCCCCTTAGGGAGAGAAAAGGACAGTGGATATCAGCTTACCTTCCTCCTTTATATTCATAGAGGGACTCCTGCCTGGAGCATCAGATTAGCTCCAGAAAATGCTTGTGAATTGATAAGAATGGAAAGAACACATTTCCAGAGCAGGAGCCAGAGAGAGCTGAAAGTCCCCTAGGAGCAGGCCTTTCCTTTCCCCAAGGCTTTTCCTCTCTGGGCAACCCCATGAGCAGGATATCACATGGGAGGGAAAGCTTTCTTATAGCTTCCGTGCCAGCAGCCTGGAAAATGGGCTATCCCCCTGTTGTACCAGCAGAAATGCGGTCAGTTTCATTCAACTTACTTTCTGAGCCCCAAGACTTTGCACAACTGATGAACAGAAGGACAGACTAGGTCCTTGGTGGGAGGAACATTAATATGGACCAGAAGGGCAGGATGAGTTTAATCTGAGGATATTCTACATGCAAAGATAAAAGTCAAAATGCACCAGAAATCAGCTGTGGGTCACAGGGGTGGGAAAAAATCGCACTTACCTGTGCAGGTGGAGGCTGTTGCACAAATCCCTGTGGTGAGGGAGGAGCCTGGAGGACTTGCTGGGAGATGGGAGGGCCAGAGCCCGAGAACCCCGCAGCAGGAAGCTGCTGGCCTGCAGAGGCGATGACATAGCTTGGCTGCTGGGCTGGCTGTGGCATGAGGGAGGACGGGTAGACAGGACCGGACGGAGGCTCAGGAGTCTCCCCTGAGGACTGCCGGCTCAGGTTCATCTGGCCAAACTGTGTCGCCACATCGTCTCTCTGCAAGCCATGGAAATAAATGAAGAAATAAGCAAGATCAGCCTGGTAATGAGAGAGGCACGTTGAGGCAGACACAGGACACATGCTTGCAGTTGTAGGAGACAGAGGAAGTATAATTGGGAAAAAATAAAATAAAGGAATTTTCCAGACAGAACATAACAAGAGAAACTAACACACACACACACACACACACACACACACACACATACACACACACACACAAATCGGGTTTTAATTATCCCGAGGATCAAAGATGGTAAGCCATTTGACCTAGATCTTCCTCTTTCAATAGAAGCAAATTATTATTTTTTCACTGAGAAGGCTTAGTCTCCTCAAGATGGTGTTGCAGACAAAGAAGGCGTAGTGTTGTGTCCTGAAGGGGCAGCTGGCCTTCCCAGCAGCAACCACAGGGTCCACCCCCTGGAGAGAGGTGGGGGCACCAGCACTCATCACCCACCCAGTGCTGCTGCTGTGAAGAGGTAGCCAGGACTGGTATTGCCAACAGGCCAGGCAGGATTACATTCCTATCTTAGGTAGGATCTGTTCACTGGCCTGGTCTGAAATTTAAAAACAACACTCACTCTTTAAGCTATTGCCCCACAAGACCTAGTGATCTGAGGGGACAATGGAAGGAAACTGGGGGACTGGAGTTCCAGGGGAAAACCTACATCGGGAGCATGGGGTGATAACGGTTACCATCCCAATACTGACTTTGAGTTTTTCCCAAACCCTCACACCAAGTTCATCTCTCTCTCTCTGTTCCTGGCCCCCAACTCTGAAAAGCACTCAATTTCTGCTTAGCTAGTAAATGCTTCAAAGGGTACCAGGCCACAGAAGTACTCAACGTGGCACAAATGGATGATGGAAAGGAGACCACTGTTTTGCAGAGATGGGCTGCAATGCTCAGAAACGAGACATTCACACATACCCCTTCACAGTCAACCCAGGGCACCCACCCTGTGTTAGCCAGGGCTGCACAGAAAAGCAGTAAAACCAGTGGACATGCTCTCCCAGGGGGAAAAGTCATACCATGGAGAAGTGCTGGGTTGGAGACACAGGCAGGAGATGCTGGGGAGGAAAAGAGACTGCCGGGTACTGCACTGACTGGGAGGAAGCCTGCAGCCCCTGGACAGACTGGAGGAAAGAGAAAGATGATCAGAAAACAGGAAAGCACAGGAGTTGAAATCCCACAAGAATACACCACCATCCACTGCAGGTCCTCTGGGCTCAGTGCACTCCAGAGAGGGGAACCAGCCACCAGGGGAAAAGTCAAGGGCTTGCAGACCACAGCCAGACAGCATTGAGGGGGGCTCATTTGCACGTGAGCAAGCTCTAAGAAGTTACTGATGTATGTTTGATATTGCTTTTGGTTAGATCATCTGCATCTAAAAATAATGCTCAAGGACAAAATATGTTTTAAACAAATTTTAAAGAGGTTCACTCTGGTAGACTCTCTGGATCACTTCAGGTTGCTATAGACATGTCTGCGTGTCTCCCTAGCAAAGGAGGGCTCTGCCTCTGTCTAAGGGGAGAATGTATGGACAGCCAGTCCACCTTGGAATTGACTGATGTATGTTCTTCCCATCGATGAAGAGTTCAGTACTGACTCTTTGCTGACATGAACATTTGATCTGCAATGGGAAGGGCTGAATGGGATTATGAGTTCAGTCTCCAAGACAGAGGCTCCCTGATACATAAAACAGACACCGAGACCTCAGGAAAAAAACAAACAAACAAAAAAAACTCATTTATTTTACCTAGTACCATGCCCTCACCCTGCAAGTCACTGGATGGGGCACTCACCTCTATCTAAACTTAAAGATCCTGTTGAAATCCTGTCAACCTGCAACCAGGGGCTCAAGGCCACCAGGTTTTTTTGTTTGTTTGTTTTGTTTTGTGAGGTTTTATTTATGAGTGGATCAAGGTGGCACTCCTGGAAGACATACCTCTCTCCCTGATGCACTACAGCTCTGAGGACTATGCAGCCTTCACCTCAGCCTACTTCCCCTCGCTGCCCTCTAACCAGCTCCGTACCTGAGTGACCAGTGGGCCTGCCATTTGTGGCTGTGGAGGCTGGACTTGCTGCTGAGGCTGAGGGGAGGGCTGCTGCTGCGGGGGCTGCTGGGACTGCCCCACCATCGCGCTCCGCAGGGGCTGCTGACTGCTGGGCGGGTTGTATATTGCAGGAGTTCCATCGGGATTCACAAAGGGCTGGCCTGCAATGGAGTCATAGTTTGGTCCAGGTGAGCTTCTCAAGCTCTCCTTTGGTAGAAAAAAAAAAAAAAAAAAAACCACTCTCATAGATACTCAAAAAGTTAACCTAAAGTAAGGGGGCAGGGAGTGGGAATCCAAGACACCAGAACCCTCGCCAATGTGAAGACTTCCCAGTTTGTGACCCATCTGCTTAAGCTAGATGATGGTATGAGCCCATAACACCTTCGGGGAGCTTTGCCAAAGCTAAATGGATCTGTGGACAGTGGCACCCAGTGCAGAGGCCTGCAGAGAAGCAATCTTCTCAAAGCCATATGTTTTTGCTGCCCTGCACCTCACAGCCATCAGCAAGATAACATACACTGAGAGATAACAGCTGCTTTCCATTTACACAACTCCAGCTACATGCAAGTTATTTACCAGTGCATTTATTTTGCTTCTGCTAAGCCTTGCCATCAATTCATAATCACCATCGGTTCCACGAATATATATATATATATATATATATATATATATATATATAATATAACACATGCATTCACTTATTTCTCTAAAAAGACACAACCAAGGATACCTGGGGTTTTGGATTTTTAAGGTGATGCACAATACACTCATCACAGAATCATCTTGTGATATAGAAGCTAATGTATATTATTTTGCTTTATGAAATAATGGCATGGTTCACTAGCATTATTACTGCTATTAATAATAGTATTGTTTTATATCTGAGGGGTATTTTACAATTTGCAAAATAGTATCATTTGGAAGTCATCATGATTCTGTGAAGGAAGATGTCATCACTCTGTTTTTCAGAAAAGGAACGGAAGGCCCACCAGAGAGGGTACAGGAATAAGGAGCTGAAAGGAAGGGAGCAAAGGGCAGTAGATGAGAGGGAAGGGGTCAGGGGAAAAAGAGAGAACAAACTGCTTCCTAATGTGGCAGGCACAGTAAGAGGCACCTTACAGACATGACTGTAGCTCTTCCAACAACCCACAGACACACAATCTTATTTCCAGTTTAGAGAAAAGAAAATTAGGGCTCAGAGCAACCACGCAACTCATTCGCAGGTACAGAAAACAGTAAGCAAGAGAACCAGAAAATGACCTTGGTCAGTAAGACTTCAAAGTCCATTCACTTTCCATTACACGAAATAATGTAGGTGACTCATCCCAGTTTACATAATGAGTACATGGTATAACTAGGTAAACACGAAAAATAAATCCAACCATAACTGAAAATTATTTATCAATGCTTGAAAAGCCAGATGAGGTGGGGACATGATTCAAGGTGAAATCACTCCCAGTACTGGCAGGTAAAGAACGACAAGAATCTGATCATGGAGAAATTGGTTGGCAAATTGTCTGTGTAGCTATTGGTGAGTCGCTTCTTCCCTCTTCCATAACTCCTGCAACCCTACTGGAAATTGAGCAGTAGCAATGTTCTTCTACAAACTGAAGTCGCAGAAATATTCTATAAAAATCTGGGCAAAATGTCTAGAAGAAACAGAGCTCCCAGAATGGGGTCGGTATTTCCTAGGAAAGTCCTCCTCATCTTGGCATTAGGGAGATGGCAGAGGCAGCATGCTGAGTTCTTCCCAAGCATATATTCTAAAGCCTCTCAGTCAATACTCTGTTCTGATACACAAGGCTTGCATGAGCATTCTTATCCAGGGTGAGAGCATGGGATGGCAGAGGAAATCAGCCTTGTTCTTTAACAATAATAATATATACATACACCCACACATTCACATATATATATATATCTCAACCAAGTATCACCAGTCATATGACAGAAATTAGCAACAAAAGGGAGCAAGACAGAGAAAAATCTAAAAACTGACCCAGAGGAAGTAGAATATTCTAGTGGAAAAAAAGTATTTATGACATTCATACAATAAGAACAGACTGTTATAAAATGGAAACCAAGCTAATTAACTAAAAGAATGTGCTAAGTGAAAGAAATCAATCACAAAAGGGCATCTACTGTATAGTCCCATCGATCACATACAAGATCAGGCAAAACTGATCCACGGTAATAAAAGTCAGATTAGCGGTACCTCTGAGAGGGCGTGAGGGAACTCACAAGAAGACTAGACATCTTCTATGTCTCATTCAGGGTGTTGTTTCCACAGGTGTTCACGTATGTAAAAATGTACCAAGGCTTATAATTCAGATGTGTGCAGGTCACACACTTTGCTTATGTACTTTATATTAATACCTCAGTAAATAAAATCAAGAAAGTAAAGTAGAACATGCTGGGTGGGGAGGAAATGCCGGGGTTACAGTGGAGCCAGACGGCAGCAGACTTGATTTTGGCTCCCTTTGGGTCTGTAAAGGCAGCTTAGTATTTCTCATTACTACCACGGATGTTGAGCACAAATGCATTTGTTTGCTTATAACAAGAAACTTTAAATGTAGCATATTCATAAACATACCTTCCAGAACTAAGAAAGTTCTGATGGGAATTTCATAACCAACAATAATGTACTGTGATGAGAAAGCAAATGCACCAGAAGTGTATTCTCAGAACAATGACTAAATCAACTATTTTCTCTGTCTTTTTTAATATTATTCCGATTCCAGGTACTTGTTTTTCTATCACTGTCATTCAATGTTAGCTACATTTTATTGTTTTAAGTTTATTTTCTTTTTTAAAAATAACTTTCTTCTAGATTCAAAACCTGTAACTCATCCCCCTCCCCATAAGCCAGCAATTGGAAAGAATTAAAAAAAAAAAAATCCTTCAATTTTTAAAAATTTATCAGCCCATTTAGTGTTCTAATCTTTAGTTTTCCTGCTTTTTGTTTGTTTTTCACTTTAGAAAGATAAGAGGATAATTTTAGGTACTTAACTTAAAAAAAAAAATCTCCAGAGACAAATATACAACTTTATCTGATTATTTCAAAATCAGTCTCACCATGTTTACACAGACACACACACACACAAACACAAACACACATACACACACATGCATGGGCACATGATGGAAAGCAAAAAGAAAGGACTGTTATTGTATTACTGATTTACCCCCGTGAGAACTAAGGAATTGTAAAAAACCAACAATAATTGGGGTTTAAAAACATAACTTCAAAATATTCATATGTCCTTTTAGATGAACTCTTGAGATATTTTGTTTGAAATGTGATTAACAGTACTGTGAACTAGAAGAAAAGAGTGTTTCTAAATAATTGCATACGAAAAGTACTAATGATTCACTAAAGTAGAAAGAGATGGCAGGTTCTTCCAGAAGGAGAAGAGAGTTTAATAGATTGATTTTTTGCTCACCAAGGAGAGGTGCAAAGAACCGAAGAACATAAAAGAAGATGCATGCCAGGGAAGAAATGAAAAGCAGTTTCCTAAGACACCCAGGATAGACGATGATTGGTTTTCAAGTCAGGCAATGACAACCTCTCCATATTCTATGATTTCCACCAATCCAGATGCAATTACTACTGAATATAAGCAGTTAGTTTGAATGACAGCTGCTGAAGACCAAGGGAAAGAGAGGACTGGCTGGCCTGGGCCTGTCCATCCTGGAGGAGGCTTTCATGTCAGAAACTGTACAAGCATGCCCAACAGGCCCTGACACCTGTGTGTGCTGGCACAAGTACAGAGAGTGCAATGACAGAAATAAGCAAGAGCACCTTAAGTGCAGAGCAGGAGCAGAAGAAAGGACCAAATGCAATGTTCATTCCTCTCAAATATATGGCAATAGGTGAAAAACTGCTTCCACTATCCACATTAACAATGTATAATGGGTAGTAAATGTTATTTTAATAACAATGTAATTATTAAGTAATCTGCACAGTGCCTAAGACTTTTTTTTTGTCTATTCCAGGGAAGCAGAAAAAAAAATTAAACAAATAAATAAAAAATAATTAAATATGGCCCCTCCCCACAAGGGTCTTATAAATGTGCTGGTACTAGGAAAATGAACCCATAGGCAATTCACACAAGCAACAAAGTAGTCATATTTTCTTGGTTTCTAACACCAAAGCATTTCTGCTATATAACTGACAGAAGGGTAATTATTTAAGAAGAGAAAGAAAGGGTGAGAAAAAGAGATTTTCCTTTCCCACTCCTTTGAAGGTGGTATTCAAATTCTAAGGGAACTAATGATTATGCATAGGCTCGGTTTAAGTCAGATCTTGCAAAGATACACTTGTTAAGTAGCATACAGAAATTTCAAGACACATTTAAGAAAAATGTGGAAGCAGATAGGATAAACACGTGCTAGAAGTCCTGTAAAAATAAAAATGGAAGTCCATTAGGAGCATGTGATGGAGAACAGCCTTAAGAGGCTACTCAAGTGGGGTCCCTGCAGATGGCATGCCCTAACATAACACAGAAATTGAATGTGCACCAGATAAAGGCAAAGCAAAACGGCAAACAACATACACAGGCATCAATGAGTGCTTGGGGGATGCCAAAGCCTATTGGCATTTCTAGATTACACTGAGCCTAAGGAAAAAAACCAAAACAGCCCAACAAAGCTGAGCTTTCTGCTAAAAATTTCCCAAAAGATTCTGGGTTCAAGAGAGCTGGAGGAAGATCTAATCCAAGAGTCCAGGCTTGCCTTGCAAGGGTGGAGATGTCAGACAGAGACAACTTTGAAAAATAGCCTCTGTGGCAACTCACTCATCAAGATGCCTAAAGAGCAAAGAAAGAACAGGCAAGAGGTCTTGAGTTAGAAATGGACCAGCTAAAAGCTGAGTCTGAGGCCAGACAAAATTAAAAGTTATAGTTGTATTTAGGGAACTGAAAGGGCATTTGTGAGTAGGTGGGTTTCAGCATGCCAAATATTTAGTATTTAGTCAGAGTCAAGTCAATTGTGCTGACAAAGGAAGCTTCATTTTTGTTTTATTTAGTGGACACAGGATTGGCAGACACCTTAGTATTTTTAAATCATCGATTATCTTATTCTTGCTTAAGACAGATATTTTATCCATTATAATTTAAACATAAACCACATTCCAAATATAAGACATTAAGTGAAGAACTGCTCCACTATCCAGATCAACATATATAATGGGTAATATACATTATTTCAATAATAAAGTAATTATTGAACACCTTAACAGTACCTAAGACTTTCTTATCCATTCTGGGGAAGCAAAAAATAAAATCAAGTAACTAAGTATGGCTCCTCTCCACAAGGAGATTATGAGTGTGTTAGTAACAAGGAAACGAACTCAAGGGCAATTAACACAAGAAGCAAAGTAGTCAAATGCTCTTGATTCCTAACACCAAAGTATTTCTGTTGTGCCCTTGGTAGAAAGGTATTTAGGAAAGGGTGTTGTTTCTAGGTTCATATCTGCCATAAGCAATGGCAGATAAAGAAGATGAGTTCTAGCTCAAAGGAGGCAAATTTTTAGTTTCAACAGCAGAGGTCATATAAGAGACTTGCTAGATATATACATGTGCATACACACACATACCATACACCACAGATATACAAATACATTATACATAATAAATACATGTACACCATATACATGTGTATATTTTCAGTTTACAAAAATAAACATAATCTAGAAAAGAAGAAATACTGTAATTCACCTTGCATCTCACCATTCAACTATAGTATGCACTATATTATATAATACATTTTCCTTCTGGTCTAGATATATTTTCAATCTAGCATTTGCCAGATCAGACACATGTATATAAAGAAGCTGTTCAACAGTGTTATTATATCTTTTTCCTTAGCTGAGATCCTTTTACAAAAAGAGATATTTTGATAACAGCTCTAAATGACTCAGTCCAATGAATAAGAATTGGGACTTGGCACCAAACAGCCTCTATTTCTTTTTTCTATAAACAAGATTATAGATGATAATATACACATACACATGCACAACCACGAGGGATCATTACAAATAATATTCCTGCATTATACCCCGAAAAATACTCTGTTGAGCTTCTTTGAAACACTCTGTAATTTTGCTTAAAACAAACCACTCAAAACAAATGTGTGTGCTCTTTTCTGCAAGCCCTTCATCTCAATTAAAAGTGGAAGAATTTAAATGAACAGAGTCAGATAACACTTTGATCAGTACCCAGAGTAATGAATACAAACCCAGTCTTCTTTTAATTTCCTTTATAGTGCTTTCAATAATCCAAATAAAATAAAAACAATCTAAAATTCCTCCTTAGAAGTATCTAATCTGAAGTTTTCAAATGGTTTTCAATAAAATGATTATGCCTTCTTTTCCCTCAAGCTTATGGCATTTTCAATATGCCTCAATCAAACACCATGCCTTGAGAATGTGCCATATGTTTTATGAAAATGTGGCAATTATTCAAGAAACTATTTTAGTATAGTTCTCATGTTTCTCTCAATTTGCTAATTACTAATAGCACTATCTATGTGAGAAGATTGAGACAGATCATTTTCATGAGATACTCATCCAGTTTTGCATTTCCAAGCTTAGCTAACTGAAGAAATGCTCTGAAATGGTCTAAACCAAACTTTAGATCTATTTCAAGACAATTCCATGTTTCGCCAGTCCCGAATAAAGGCCTCTTAAGAAACACCTAGTGAGTGTCAAGCTTTTGAAACTAGGGATTCTCAGCTATGGCACTACTGGCATACAGATAATCCTCTATTGGTGGGATTTGTCCTCTGTAGGATATTTAGTGGCATTTCTGGTCTCCATCTATTAGATTCCAGTAGCAGTCCCCTCCTCCCAAGGTCATGCTAATTAAAATGTCCCCAGATATTGCCAAATGGACTTGGGGGCATGGGCAAAATTGTCCCTGGTTGAGAAGTTGCCCCCGCGAAGCAGATATGCCTCAGTCTATTTGCTGATGTTAGAATCTCAATGCCCCATGTGCTTTGGAATCAACGTGGAAGTTAACTGATCCACTAGAGAAATTAAAAATTAAAGAAACAATGGCCATTTATCATGCAAGAAACCATAATCATGTAGTGAGCAATTTTCTAAACCCTACCGAAAACCAGTGTAGGTCTAGAAATGGTCTAAAAACCATTTCTAAAATACCAAGAATTTGCTCTCTGTATTCTCATCACCACTGCTGTTTCTTATTCCCTCATAGGAGATGGGTGAAGTTCTAAGGAGAGAAAGCAACTTCTATGGTTAAGAATCCATTATATGTCTCAAACGGTACCTCAGTTCCCTGAAATATCCCTGGATGCAAAACCACTTTTGACATAATACAGGCTAACCTGAGATCTAGTCTGAAAAACACAAAATTTTAATTAGTATATCGCAGCTCATCACACTACTTGCTCTGATTTGAGCTCCTAAAGTGTCTCATGAGAGACACTTTGATAAGGGAAGGAAAGGCAGAGAAAACAGTGAATGCTTCTGAGAAATATTTATATCCGTATCAACGTCAATGTTGATAAGGAGATATAAATATGGAGATACAGATATAGACATAGGTATGTTCTTTCTAAACAAAGATTCTACACAGCAGTTTGTGTACCCATCGCTTCTGTTCAGAAATTTTCAGAAAACTTGCTAGCAAATTCACAAGATCAAACACAAGAACAAACGTCTGATAACCTTGTGTGCCTGATAAAGCAGGTGGTAACTAACCTGTATGTGGATTAAGAAGGATGCTTCCGGGCGGGATGCCTGTTGCAGCTTCAAGTGGCAGGAGGATGTAGCTGGTGCTGCTGGGAGCGACCTGGCCCCCCATTCCATTCTCAGGATAGGGCACACAGCCTGGGGAACCGGCTGCCATGCCCGAGACCAGGGGTGTGCTCTGGAGAGGCGGATGGGTGCGGGACAGTGATCCTGAGGAGCCTGTGCTGCTAGAAGACTCAGAACCTGGCAGAGAGAAAGCACAGATCTGAGTCTGAATGCCCCATTTTCTAGAACCCATCATTAAAGAATGTGAGGTGTGTGTTTCAAGATGAGATTAACTAATGGCCCTTCCATATTTTAGGCTCATATTTCATTGAAATCTTTGCTACATATTTTTCAGATGTATCAATTTTCTAGGAAATGAGAAATTATTAATAAGCTCTCTTGGTCCAACAACTCAATAAGAAGAAAAATCCAAATAATCCAATTAAAAATGGGCAAAGGATCTGAATAGACATTTTTCAATAGAAGACATACAAAATGGTTAACAGGTGTGTGAAAAAGTGCTCAACATCACTAGTTACCAGAGAAATGCAAGTCAAAACTGCAATGAGACAGCATCTCACTCCAGTAAAAATGTTTTTGTTTTTTTTTTTATCAAAGGACAGGCAATAACAATTGTTAGGAAAGATGTAGAGAAAAGGGAACCCTCATATACTGTTGGTAGGAATGTAAATTAGTGCAACCACTATGGAGAACAGTATGGGGGTTCCTCAAAAAACTAAAAATAGAACTACAATCCAACCCAGCAATCCCATTACTAGGTATATATCCAAAAGAAAGGAAATCAGTATATCAAAAATATATCCGCACTCCATGTTTATTGCAGCAATATTCACAATAGCCAATATTTGGAATCAGTCTAAGTGTCCATCAATGAATGAATGGATAAAGAAGTTGTGGTACATATTCGTAATGGAATGTTATATAGCTATAAAAAGAAATGAAATACTGCCATGCAATAAAATGGATGGAACAGGGGAACATTATGTTCACTGGAATAAGCCAAACACAGAAAGATAAATCTCTCATGTTCTCACTCATATGTGGAAGCTAAATATTAAATCAATTGATCCCATGGAGACAGAGAGTAGAATGATGGTTACTGAAAGCTGAGAAGAGGGGATGAGGAAAGGGCGGTGAAGTGGGGAGTGGGTATAAAAATATAGTAAGATAGATAGAATGAACAACAGTTGATAGCACAACAAAGTAACTGTAGTCAACAATGTTATGGTATACTTTAAAATAACTAAAAGAGTTAGGAACTGGAATGATCTTAACTTAAAGAAATGGTAAGTGCTTGAGGTGATGGATACCTCAATTACTCTGATTTGATTAATACACATTGAATACCTGTATGAAACATCACATGTACTATATAAATACACACAATTGTTATTATTACGTAACCATAATAATTAAAAATAAATTTTTTAAAAAGAATGAGCTCACTTGTATTCTCTCTCTTTCAGCTTTTTCATGTACTACTGGCATGATGAATTGCTAGATGGTACCCTAAAACTCTGAATTCAGAACCTGCAAACTCTCTCCCAAATTCCTGAGTAATTAATACCATGGAAATACATGTCTAAACCAGAATGATAAGGATAAAATAATGGGGATGAAGGTTAAAGAAACTGCAGCTGAAGGAAGAGTCCTCTGGTGTGCTGGTCATGTGCATGATTCTAAGGCACTAGTTCCTCATCGCCTACACAGCTGAATTTTGAAGGGGCATAATCAGAAACAATCTTTTACTCCCCATATATGAGTAGAATATCTGGATCATTCCTATATTGGGAGCATAGCATATATGAGTGAACAAAGTTCAAAATCAAGTAAGGTCTCTTTTAAGGAGTTACATGGTTTACGAGTGTGTAGGATTGAAAGTCAGGGAGTCACGGATGAATCAGGACTCTGATTCTTTCTAACCTCTGACCAGAGGCAGCTTTCAACCATTGAATATTAGTTTCCTTTTGTGTAAAGTAGAAACAACAACATAGACTTTATATATTAAAAAAATATATATTTTTAAAGAGATTCAAGGAATGAAATATTAGGTCTGACACAAACTATGTGACAAATAGATGATGGGAATTACTAATAGTATTAACGCAATATATTTAAGCGCTTAAAATGCCATACTGCATTTTACATATTTGAAGAATTCTCACGAATATGCCCACGGGGGGACCAAGGAGGGCCTGGCCTTCACAATGATGGAGCATCCTTCAGGTGACACAGAAGAGTAAAATCACAGGGATGTTTGTAGACTATGGGTCTACATGCAGGCAACTGGAACAGTGTGCTGAAGCCCGTAAGGTGAAATACAATCATCTTTCCTCTCTCTCCACTGTGCATGAAGAAACACTTGCCATGTTCCATGCTCACTGGGCACTCACTGCCTTTTACTTCAGTAAAGGCTAAGCAGCTCCAGCACCCTCAACCATGGCTGTTCTGGGCATTGAGTATTAACCAGAGCCAGCTGAGAGAAAACACACCAAGCAAAAAATTTTATTACTGCAAATTCAGACAAATAGATGATGTAGATAATAATATCATAGGTTGCAGGAATGTAGTACGAGACCTTTATTAAATCATTAGCCTACATTATTGATTTATGTCACTAAAAATGTATTCCTCTGTGTAATGAAAAAGGTCAAAATGTACCCGCAATAGTTAACATTCTTTCCAAGATTCTAAAATGTGCCTTTAAATTAAAGCAGAAATCTTTTAAAACGAGTGAAATGAATGCAGCACGCAGTTACAGAGAAGAGGAGCGACTGGAGAGTCTGATAATTTGGGAGAAATAGTAAGATTTATTGAGCATTCAGTATGTGTAAGCACCTGAATAAATACTTTAATAATAAACACTACTACTGCCTATAGAGATGAGGAAACTGAAGTATAAAGAAGTCAGGGAACTCAAGCCAGCTCATATAGCAAGAGAAAGTCAGAGCTAGAATTTGACCTATACAGACTCATCAAGTTTTAACCAAGGCCCTAGGATGCCTCTTGAAAGTATTGATATGCATATACCGTGGCCTGTCACAAGTGTTCTCAGCGGGGTATCTTTTCTGCTTTTCCCATGGCTTGGTTATTAATATTAATAATAGTAATGTTTTAAGTCAATTTAGGATATTCTATCTAAATGGTTAGCTCATGGGGTTCTGAATAATGTATGGAGAGAAAAACAAAAGATGTAACAGGAATACTGAAAATGCTAATAATAGTTTTGAGACAGTATCACTAAAATTATGACTCTGAGGTCACAGTCTCAATGCAGATTGTGGCTGCACATGCCATGTACGATCCGATGGGTCTGACACTAGAGCAGAGTCAACAACAAAAACAACAATAGCAATGATACGACAACAAGACCTCCTGCGCCCAGACGTTTAAGGTCATCTGAAAATGATTCCCCTCATCTCCAGGCTCAGGGGCTAGACAGTGAGAAAGCACTGGAGCCAACAGAGCACGTGCCCAGCTCTGATTTGAGGTGCAAACTAGTGCCGGCATGGTGTGTGTGCTGGTTGATGCACACACATCAAAGTGTCACGATCAAATCCAAAGAGTGACTTAATTTTGGCTTTAGAAAGACGGCCATTAATCCCTGATTTTTAACGTCCTTCCCCTCCATCACCTCGGGGGGGGGGGAGTAGCAGCCTCCATAGGAACAACAAGGAAATAATGTGAATGATTTGATTCCATACATTAAAGGAAGGAAGAAAAACTAAATCTGGCTTAAACTCTCAGCACTTGCAAAGATAAAGAAGGAGTCAAAGCTCCTGGGAGGGATGGCTCAGGGACCATGCATGCAGCCAGAGCTCAGGAACAGGCCTTGCTGGCCGCCTGATTAACCAGCCTTGACCAGCTTGTAAGCATCAATCCCCCAGAACAAGGGGAGCAAAATTCTGCACACAGCCAGCAGTACTAAAGTACTTGATAAAAAAAAATGAATGCTAGCAATGGGGATAATAGGCACAGTATTAGAACTGTTCAAAGATTTTTTAAAAAGAAAAATTAAAATTGATATTTGAGAACTTTAGGATTTTGGGTGCCCAAGAGTTAAACGTATTTCTGGTTTCCTTTTTTCAGGAGCTTAATGATAACCTCGGAAAATATGTAAACCGTATGTCTATGGGACGAGCGCTCACAGTGACGTCATTTTGAAGATGAAAACTGATCCTTAGACATGTTAAGTCAATGTCCCAAAGCTCACTGCATGTGTGGTATAGTCTGGGCTCAGCCCAGACAGCTTCCCTCCACAGACCATGCTCTGAGCCTGCAGCTCACATATTTACCTCCTCGTCATAAAAGTGAGAACCAGGTGGGGCCAGGGCCCTGCTCAAGCCTGTGGCGAGTTCTAAGAGATACTACACAGACACCGATGCCACTCACAGTCGTATGCTGAGAGACTGATGCTGGATCCCTAAGAAGATGGAGAAGACATCAGAACGGCTGGTGAGAGACTCAGGAGAACGTGCAAGAGAGAAAGGGTGAAAAGAAAAAGGGAAACATGGAAAAAGAAAGGAAAAGAGATCACAAGACAACGCAAAATGGAAAACCTGGAAGGTGACAGGGAAGAAGAGGAAGCGCATGAGCAAATTTCCTTGGAGCGGAGGGAACACTCCCCAGGGAGGAAGGATCCTGGGTTTTGGTTCTAGTTCTGCCACGTAAGGCTGTGTTTCCTTCAGGAAGTGACTACTCTCTTAGGCCTCAATATAATATACTCTTTCGTAAAAGATAATCCACCAAATTAAATGGTGAGCAATGATGAGGAAGATGACCTTACTGTTCCCTGCAGCTTAACCAAAATTTAGACAGGTTGCTTCCAGATTAGAAGCTCCTACCTCCCTTTCCCTAGAACATTTCTGCTCCATTAAGATGCCAGTTTTACAACCCAGGAATATCTTTCCTAAGGACCTGAAATCCATCTTTTTGAAATGTAATCACTGAGAAAAACAGAGCCTCTACCTCCCAGTTTCTGTGGGAGGATAGAAGCCTAATTTACTCAAGCACGGATTAGCAAACTTGACGGCCAAATCACATTGACCAATTGGCCAATCTCCTCTTTTGCTCCTCCAAAACTTCTCCTCTAGCTCACTCCAATGTTTAAAACCCTCCTGCCTTTTGATTCAGTGCTTCTGACTTCTATCTCCCTTATCACATTAGTTATGAATAAAGTCTTTAGCCCATCTGGTGCAATTTTTCTTTTGCAAGGAATCCATATATAAACATTTTATTTTCTTTCTGAATTAATAATTTGAGAAAATATTTCCAGAGTCAGGGGGTCAGAGTTCAAAAGAATAACCTAAAGCTTCCAAAATTATCAGGGGAAAGAGAATATCCAGGATGTAGTAGTGTACTAATGACAATAAACATGAAGAAGAGGAAGTGGTGGAAAGATGAAGTTGTCTGTCTTGCATTGGGTCCAGAAATACTCTAGGATGTAGACAACGGCAAGAACACCTTTGCATCCAGAAAACCACTTACTGGACCACCTGATTTATTAAAACAAAAGGACACCTTATTTCTCCAGAGTACTTGTTTTCCAAGTTTTGTTCCCAGACAAGCAGCATCAACATCAACTGGATGTTGATAGAAATGCAAATTCTCAGGCCCCACCCCAGACCTACTGACTCAGAAACTCTGGGCGTGGGCCCAGCAATCTGCGATTTAACAAATCCTTTGGGTGAGTCTGAGAGAATTACACTTGGGAAACCCCTGCTTTGGATGCTTTGAAGATTGGGAGGTGCGAGGCAATAGTAAAACAGTATAGCTAGGCCAATGTGGGAAGAAATAGAGATGCAATACTCTTATTTGTCAACCACATAGCTATTACCAAGAAACATCCAAGGGTGCAGCACAAGTATTATTCGAGCGCTGTCCACAAGGAGGGTGTCGTGGCATCATCTACCTCCATAGACATGTGCTGGGCACCTCACCGGCAGCCCACGCCACAAGAGACCGTGCGTGTGGATTCGCACTTCAGTAATACGCTTTTTGCCAAAATGTAGGGAAACATGATTCCGACATGGAAAACGTCTCATTATTCTCTATTTAAAGCTGAAACCCATGTAATTAGAGGAGGAGAAGAGTAACTCAAATGTCACAACTCCAGACTTGGTTTCTAAAAGGTCAAGAAAAAAAAAAAAAAAAGTTTGCAATTCCACTGTGAACAATGAGGAAAAAAAATTGAAAACTTGTGCTGTTACGAAGATCCATGACAGCAAAACTGACAGTTTTGCTTCATAAATCCATCTTGGGAAATTGTAAGTTTGTTTTGACATCCTATCTTGATCTCCTTTAAGTTTTTATTCCCTTTCCATGCCTGCACCTTGACAAGCTTTCAAATGAAGACACTTAGATTAAAAGAAAAAAAAAATTTCTGAAGCACTTACAATCTCTAATCATTCTTCAAATAACATGGCATTTTAGCATTTTTGAGGTGTTTTAAATGTTTCCAGAGAGCTTTGCTTTGGAAGTGATTGGGGGTTGGTGCCTGGAGAATGACTGTTAGTTTAAAAAATCTTAAGAGCTCTCTTGGTGTGCTGGAATTTTTAAGTGCACCATTTAAAGTACTTGGGTTCTGCATTTTAAGGAGATTTGAAACTATTTAACCTTCCTTAGTTTACAAGAGCTCAAGTGCACCACAGTGGATTTTCTTTACTTCAGTTGCTTCAATAGTGGGATATGAGAGCAATTAATTAGAGTAAGAAATCAAGAACTCACCAATTAGTGAATAAAAATTATAGGAAGGCAGGAGGAACCCACCTGAGTATTTCCAAGAAGCAAGGTTTGTGTAGGTCTGTGTGTATAGATATATAGATCTATGAAGTAGGGGCTGTAACTAAATGCTATTAATTTTTTTCCAGTGTAGGAAAACATGATATAATTTCTTAGGAGGGATTTATCAATAGCCTAATTATGTTAAACCATCAACAGATGGACCCAGATTTTGCTGATCCCCGCCCCCAACTTTGGCCCCAGCATGAGTGCAAAGGTTCACTGGGAAGGTATCCACAGTCCAGGGCAGCCCATGTCTACACTGTAACTGGGGTTCTCCATTCATCATCCCATCCCTGCCCTGACTTCCCCTTCACCTGTCATGTCAGGACCATGGGTGCTCCACCAGTACACCCTGACACCCAGGGCATGCCACTGAATCACAATTCTTAGCTCCCCACCCTAGTGAGAGTAGGGAGTCTGACTTTCTGAGGCAAACCCAAAACAAAGCAAAATCCATCACACACCAGAACCACAAATTTCAGTCTCTGGAGTGATACTGAATGGTCATTTGTCACCTTCCTGGGATTTTTTTTTTTTTTTTTTTATGAGGCACTTTCATTATGAACAGTTGAAAATAATTCAGAAACAATGATGAAGGATTCTTGGAACCAGAAAAGCTAGAAGTGGCAGATCATGAGGGTAATTCTGCAGACTCAAATGAGCACCATGATGCCATGCTTCCATGCCATGCTTCCATCAGTTTAAAGCTATTGCAAGTTAATGGTCCTCCTGGATCTCTCATTATCACTCACCTTCAAAAGACTGTTCATGCAAACTTGAGCTACCTGCCTCAAAATATCACTATTCACTTGGAAAGAAAGAAAAAAAAACAGACAGAGAAAAAGATACATGAATTTGGTAACTCGGAAACTCTAAACCTTTCTAAGATTCACTTCCTTTACCTGAAAAGCAGGGATGAAAACATTAAATGACAATAATAAAAATAAATAAGAATTAGTGTTGATTGAGGGCTTATAACCTGCCAGGCATTATTCGAATTGCTTTGTGTATATTGACTCTTTTAGTCTTCACAATAACTCTGTAATATAGATACTATTATTATTTCCATTTCTTAGATGAGGAAACAGAGGCACACATAGCTTAAATCACATGTCCAGGATCATACTAACAGTGTGTCAATGCAAGGGCTGAAGCTTTGCACTATGGTTGTAAAGAATAAATCATGGTATTAAATTAAAAAGCAATAGCTTGTCATAATGACATAGTTATTGAAAAAAAGCAATATCTAACTTTTGTCAAATAGATGCCATAATGCAGGTATAATTCCATGGTAATCATTTACATATAAATGATATAATTTAAATTAATTTTATGGAGTAAACTTAAATAAACTTAAGTAAGTCAACTTTAAGTCTATTGAGGAGAGTTGGAGTAATATTCTATGATAACCTAGGCTTTACAGGTAAGGAAACTGAAAATCAGAGAGGTTAATAACATGACCTAGGCACATGGTTAGCAAGAGGCAGTAACCTATTTAACCTATTTAAATTGCACCTTCTGACTTCCCAGTTATCCTTGTAATTAATATAACATTGTCGTTAGTTAACTCAAAATCAGAGGGAATGGTAACCATGTGTCTTAGGTACAATCCAAAAAATACCACGGGACATAAACCCACTCAGTACTAACTACCTGCTTTGGACAGCTTCCCGGTACTTCTGGTACTGGATGTGCTGTCACCTCTAGTCAGCACCGTGATGCCCCCAAAACTTGCCGTCTTGGTCATGGCGGGCTTCAGATTGCGGTTGGAGCTGTCAGAGTCTGTGCTGCTCCAGGCCCTTTGGTGATCAGACCACTTGAGTTCATTCTCTGAGCTGCTCTGGCGACTTCCAGATGTTCTCCCTGAGCCATCTCTGTTGCCCCTGGAGCACGTCCACCAGAAAGATGCACAGGGACGGGATTACATTGCATGAATGGCTTGGATGGGCACAAAGTGGGACTTTTCTTGGAAGAGCCATCTACACAAGACCCTTCTTGACAACCCCTTTATTAAACCAGTTGACTCCCAAACACTGCTGTGAACACCTTAATGATAAATAGACAGGTAACACATCACACATAACACGCATGTTACAAACAGAAAAACCAAACCTAGAAATGCCACATGATCCCTCTGCCGGTGAAGGAGAAACAAGTAGGAAAATATGGTATAAAATATAATTGTTAACTTTTCTTACAGAGAGGATGGGGGATAAGTTCTCCTGACCTTAATCGACAATGAATTAGTATTAAGAAGTAATTATGATCTTAAATTATCCTAAAAGTAACTCCCACCAAAGAAGAGTTTTTTCTTTCTCTTTAGTGTTATACAATTAATTGGCTATGAAAAAATAGTACACAGGTCCAGAGAAGCTATTAATGAGTTCATTTTCCAACTTTATGAGACATATATGTATATGTCTCATATACATATATATATATTTATATATATTCAGATATATATATATATCTGAAATCACCAAGGCTTTGATGGCACAAAAATCACAGAAATTATTCTGTAAACCTATGGTAAAATTTTTGCTCAGTGAGTTTAACCTTCATGGTCAGAGGAAAGAACCATTTAATTCTTTTCACATAAAAAAGCTTGTGAAAATAACAATAACAATGTAAACATATACATTGACATGAAACTTTCCAAGGCGATCAATGGAAATTGTTTTAAGAAGCTCCTTAGGTGAGAGAACACACTTGTTCAAGCTTTAAATAGAAAGAGAGTGAATGTATTTGAAGAGATCCAATCGCCAGAAGTAAATTTCGAAGACTCTAGAGTATCTCTAAGGAGTATGCAAAATTGCATGTGCTTTACAAAACATTTGATGAAATTTGCATTTTCATTGGTTTCTAATCTGCTTAAAGAGTAACTTTGTTAATATTTTTCCAAAGCTTTTTCTGCAGATGGAAATAATGCATTAGCAAAATACCTTAAGATTCTAATGGATTATGAATAAGTGAATGAAACATAAATCATGCATAATAAATATAACTCTTAATTTCATATTAGCCATGTGATATATTTGAGTCTTGATTTAAATCTTACAGATGTGATTGGCAGTTTTGTTAAAAATAATCTTTTAAAGACAATAATATGCTGTTGGGATGCTAGAAGTGCACATACCTGATTAAAAGACTCACCAACCAAATTGTACAGAACGCATACAGAAAATTTTAGGTTTTGCTTCAACTTTACTTACTAAACTTTTCCTTTCATTTCAGGAAAACGATAAGAAGGTAAATGGATCCAAGAGATAATAAAAATGAAATTGCTAATCTGTGACAGGAACTGTGTAAAGCAAAGGGAGAAAGAGGAACAGAAAACTCACAAAACTGAAAGCACTTTTGAGGAGAGCACTGGATGAAAATATTCAGTGCCTTGCCAGCCTCCATCAATGTCTCCTTACAAACATTCTCTCTGTTCCCAGGGATGGCTGGTTTTAGAGACAAGAACCACCTGATAAAGACCAGGGTACAGGTATGAACTAATAGACCTTCATCAATGGCCAGGTGACTTTAGCTTTTAAACTCCTTTAAAATGTGAGAAAGCCACAGGAGGTAAAGTGGAGAAAAAATAAGTATTTTCAAAGGCTTCGTGTTCCATTCCTTATTGTTTTCTCTTTTATTCTCCAAATTCAGCTTTATTCTTCTCCCATATAATTCTGACAATGTGACTCATCTTTGACAAAGTCTGGCCAAATCACTAGTTAGCAAATGTGAATGCAGCAGGAATGTGACAATAATCTCATTTGCAGCTAATTTGAAATATTTATTATAGAAAGACACTGGTTGACGATTTGGGGGTGATCCTTAGGCTCAGCGTGCAAGATGCATAAGGAAGCTCTCCGTATGAGATTGAACCCTTGTTACCATCACTAATTCTGATTCAATTATCCATTCCCCCATGACCTCTGCACCTCCATGGTAGGAATCCAGACTTCCTCTAAATGCCATTGTGGCTCAGCTTTTCTTGGTAAAGAATATGACCACCACTATTTCTGGGTGCAATCTAGTGTGTTGTAGTGTGTAGCCTCCATCCTTGGCAGAGCTATTTCTAGAGCTGTGAGGAGTTCCTTTAGACTTGTGTCACATCCCCTGGTCAGTAAGGCAAACTAACATTCCCATAACTTCTCTTCCTCTACTGAACAGCTCAAATCATCCTACTAAACCAAAATCTGTGCATTAAAAAAAAAAATGGAATTTAAGTTGTTGCTTTAGGAAGTTAGCATTAATGAAATTCGAAATAATGTATCTAATTCTGATTTATGATTTCTCGATATTTACACATTAAAACCTATCTTGTGCTATTTTATACTTTTCTATGATCTTAACAGTGGTGAAGTGAGGTTCAGTACTGAATTTCATACCTATTTGAGTGTGAGATCAGACATTATAGAAAAACACATCCACAGGCATCTTCCCATCCTTCCTAAGCCCAGTCCTGGTCCTCTCCTACTAGAATCCAGGAAGATGATGGTAATGAAATGTCTTGTCACTGGAGCTGGTACTCTTGTAGGTAACTAGGATTTGATCCCAGGGTAGTCATAAAGCATGTGCTCTATGCTTTGCTTCTTTGCTGATTAAAATAACAGATAACTTTTAATTTCATTTATGTCTGAATGCAATATTTTTGCTCTGGTGTGGGGTGATAGACACTTTGAATTGCTCTCACAATTGCACTGGATGGTTTTGTGCTAAGTTATCTTTCTGAGTTTCTGCACTTGGTGATTTTGATGGGTGATGGAATCCGTATGTGGAATGTCTCACCTGAGCACATGGTTTCTCTGACTTGGGACTTGGGGGTATCTAAAAACTAAAACTATGTAAAACTAGTTTTCTCTGCATTGGCCTAAACAAACTAGATCATAGTGTGTGAATGCAGGAGTGATGGTAAATTTTATTTCTTCTCTGGGGTCATAAAAGAGAAATGCAAGGTGATTTTCTTAAATCTTCAAGCGTGAAAGAAAAGGCATTGTCTAATGATACACAAGGAAGGTATCAGACTGTGTTGTTTAACCTAAAAAAGTGAAGGAAGTTGAAAAAGAAGCTTCTTGTTCTTGTTTCTGCCAAAGTGTAAGGAAACAAATGAACTTTATTGATAATAAGCTCTAAATTTCAGATTTACTGCAAAAATATACTTTCTAAGCACACAATCCATCTACTTAGTATTTTATTTCCTCTAAGTGGGCTTTTCTGTTGTTGCCTTCCCTGCAACAGAAGCGAATCTGAATATTTATAAATACACAAGCACATTAAATACACACATTGAATACTTTGTGTATTTATAGCATGGTGTACCTTTTGCTCTATAATGGATGCCAGATATACATTTAGTAGAGTAGGGACAAAATGCGTATGGTCTCTCTGCTTTCATGGAGCTTCAAGCCTAGTATAGAACTTAAAAAATATTATCATCCTCCCCATTTATCCCACACAGACCTTAATTTAAGTAGTTCATTATAATTGGGAGGAACCTCATATCTTTCTTTAGAACTAGAATCTGTGACTGAAAAAATACTGTTTGAAATATTATGGTAGAAAAAGTGAAAAATTAGCTACCCAAATAAGGTTATCATTGATTTATTTTCCAGTGTTGGGAATATATATACAATTGCAACCCATCAGAATAAATTTAACTTGGTGTAATTTGCTAAGGTTGATTTGGGAATGTTGAAGCAGGGTGCTGCCAAAGTTAGCCTTTGAAAAACAGAAAATCAGAGGAAGAACCCTAAAGAATTGTAGACAAAATGATAGCTTCCTAGTCCCATTTCTTACACTATCCAGTAGGACTTCAAAGCTAGCTACGTAACAAGCTTTACAAAGAGATAACTGAACATATTTTTATGAACAGAAATATTGTACACTGATACACTTATATTTAACATTGATTCTACCACATAATCTGAAAACACAGTTTAAGAAAGTAAACCATACCAACCGAAAGAGCTGTCTTTTCTTATAGGTCTCATTGCATATGTTACTGTCTTCCAAGAGCCTACTGGAAATGAAAAACATGATTTTTATGATATAAAACCTAAGGATACTAAACGCCCTATGTTAAATGGATGTGTATGCTGCTATAGCACACCTTTCTTGTAAATCACTCCCATACGCTATGTTTTATTTGTGTGATGTTGAATTTTGCCATAATAAATATATGGCAGCATGATAGGACTAGGATCCCTACCATAGGATTAAGGCACTGATGGTAGGTAAGGGGGATAGAAGGGAAGAGAAAATAGAGAAAATAGAAGAGGAGAGGAGAATAAAAGAAATTGGTACAAATATAAAAGAGATTTAATTAAATATATTAGTTGTGTTCTTTTTTTCTTAAGGCAATAATAAAGTTATTCTGTACTTCTTGGTATAGTGAAATATTGAGGTAGGTGCCCCAAAATATATATTTATTTTTGTAGGAGAGTCACTCAATAAGTGTTTTGCTTTTGGGGATGATCAAGATTTGCTCATATATGCAATGCAAATATGTGACAAATTATTATAATGTTGAATATAATCCAATTTGAATATAAGGGACACTTGAGTGTACATGAATAAGATTAGGGAGTAAGGTAAGAAAAATAATTGGCTAGAAGACTAGGAAATAAGGCTTCACACTAAAATGAATTGTAAATGCTCACTTAATCTTTGTGGTAAAGAAAATGAAATTTTAGAATGTTTCAAAATCACCTCCAAGATGTTAATGCTCATGGATTCTTAGTTTTACTGTAAATAGAAAATATTTGTCTAAATATATACTGACTTTGAAGTTGTTTGAATCCTTTATGCGGGCTTGTTTTCCAAGTTTGTCTCTTCTTCTAAAAGAGGTTATTCTATAAAGGGTTTAGTTACTTGAAGATTTCCAACTGCAAATATGAATGACCATATTTTTTTTTAACCAATCATCTTTAATGCTCAGATTAAATTTCTCTGAGTACTGGCTTTTTAATCATCTGTCTCCATTTTAATCAATGTTATAGGGACACCCATTAAGCCAACACCTGAAATAAAATTAACCACCACTTTATTTATAGATATCACATTTCCAAACCAAGTTTCCCATTTTGATGCATTTTAATGTGATTTGTACAAGTTTTAATGTGAGTTCCTTAATTTGCCCTGAAAATCTGCAATTAAATCAATGAAGCATTTCAATATATATGTCAGTTTAGAATGATTTTAAAAAGGTATATGTAAAGTTTGAAAAAAAAAAATTCTGCTTTTATCTTCAACACTTTCTTTAAATTTTATAACTCATTCATTTCACAACTACCTCCCCCCACTAATTCCTAAGCCAGGTATATCGCTGAATATAGACCAGTTTAGATAAGGCTTTCAGGTCAGCCTTTTTGTGAAGACTAATAGATCACTTAGAATGTAAGGCTTAGAATCTTAGCCTTAAGATAATATTATTCCAATTATTATTTGTATAGCTACATATAATTATGGTGCACAAGAATTGGCTAATTATACCAAATATATAAGTACTTTTTGGCAGCCTATTCAATAAGCCAATGAAACTGCAAGTTCCTGTGTGGGCTCAATGTTTATTCTTGTTAATGCCTGGTGAAGGTAATAAAAATTATATCTTTAGAAGGATCAGAAATTGAGACTTTAAATAAGGAAAATGTTTAAAACTCTGCTTAGAAGAAACTGAAAGAACTTTTTCCCCAAATTAAATAATTTTTAGATGTTCTAAATAACACATATGTGTATGAGTATCTATGTGTACGCATAGATATATGTATATACTTATACATATATTCAAGCACACACTTAATGGGATATATATATATTTATGAATATACAGGACACACACGACAGACTTTGTTCCTCTAAAGACATAAAAAAGTAAATTTAATTTTACCTGTTTTCCACAAAAAGGCTTTCCTGGGAGCAAACTGACTGAAAAATAAAAAAAGGCATTGTATCAGACGTTCTGGAAATGCTGAGGGGGTCCCAAATCCTTGCCTGATTTTAAAATTACTTTTCCCTTCCTAGGGAAAAAGCATTAAGAAATATATGTACAAAAGATGGAAATAAAAAGGAAGAAAAAAAAAAAAAGGTTAGCATCAGAAGAGTAAACAATTCTCATGCAGCGTTGGGTACATTTCCATCAGGATAGCTCCAGGTTTTTAAACAGATTTAGCCCGTTCTGCATAGAGGTCAGAAGAAGAGGAATGTGAATGAAACTGCTGGAGAAGTGTTAGGCCATCAGATTCTGGGCTAGCAGTTTTCTCTGGAGCTGCGGAGGTGCAGCCGCCAAATAAAGCCAAGGGAAAGTGTTCAAATCAGGGCAGAATATGCAGAGTCGGCATGATCCACCTAAGGATGGGAGAGCTGTAAAGCCACAATCCTACAATTATTACCTGGCAATGATAAACTGTCATGAAAGAAAGAGATTGACTGCAAGACTCTCAAAATTGAAGAAATGCCATCAATCATTACATTAAGTAAGAGGGGAGAGGCAGAAGACAAGTGAGGATGAAATGAAGCTAATTAGAAAAAAGAAAAAAAAAACATCAAGCACCATCTAATATTTCTCAGTTTTGCACACAGAAAACCAATGATTTTCCTCTTAGCTTCCATTCACCGAGCATTTAGCATTCATTTCTTTCCTATCTTGTGGTTAAGACACAATGGAGGGAAGATAAAATCCCATTACCATTACATGCTGAGGAAAGGTGGATGAAATTAAATTTAAACCAACAGAAAAAGAGAAGTCTAGAAAAAATATGGTGCTGTGGTCCTGTAATAGGGTGCCTGTGTTTAGTAAGTAACACAAAACCATTTCCAAAGTACTACGTTTCTAAATATAAATAAGGTACACCATATTCTATGTGTAGAATTTTCTCAATGATGAATAAGTGACTTGTTAAAGGGATAAATAGAGAATTAACATGTCCATTTTGAGATAAAATAAAACTAACAAATTATAATGACCTTTTTTAATAACTAATACTTGAATTAAAATATGCTACTAATGTACCCACTGCTCAGACAGCTAAGCAGCATGTGATTGATTTTCTTTTTTCACTTTGCTAGAGAAATCATTTCCTTCCACTAAGTCAGAGGGCTATATTTAGACATTGTGTTTTCTTCAGTGGTCTGGGCATTTCAGTGACGGTTTCTCCATAACAGTTTTGTTTTAACCTTGTATCCTGAATTTCAAGTGTGCAATAACCTTACTTAAGAAAAATTAAAAAAAAATAGCCAATTAAAGGACAAATTTTTTTAGAAAATATCTTTTTTTTTTTTTAACTTGACATTTATATCTAAAAAGAGAAACAAATACAAATGATATGCCATTGACATTCTACAAAGATTTCTTTGGAGTAAACTAAATATCCTATCCTTTTTATTTCCTTTAGTTTGGTTTTATCACTGGCTGGAATCATATAATGGCATGTGGAAGACAATGAGGTTGTCTCAGATATACCTTATGAGCTCAATACTTTGCTACTTCTCAGCCCTGGTAGTTGGAAAGAGGTCAATTAAGTTTATAATGTTCCGTCTGGATATTGGAGTTATAGAGACTCTACTTTGAAGTAGTTGATCAAAGACATAGTGACCTTTTCAGATTCCTTAATCTAATAGCATTTGGGAAAAAGTTAAGCAGCCCAATCTCTTTGAACCAAAAAGCAAGACACCAACAAGTCAAAGATATCTTTCTCAAAAACATATTTCAAGACTATTTTTTTTCTGATTTTTTTTGAAAGGTCCTAAAAAATTATCTCATGAGCCCTTTATCACCACATTTTCATAAGTAAGACCAAAAGTTATGGGCTGTGACTTAGTAGCTGATAAAAATAAACTTTTTAAAAAAAGTAGTATTCATAACTTGCAAATTATAACAGCAGAGAAAGATGAAATTGTCACAGTAATTAAGTGCAGCATTCAAAGCTGTCACTTATATGCGTTCTCAGATATAAAAGGCTTGGTTTTTTTTTTTAAAAAAAAGGGAGAAAAATGGTTTTCTCTAATGGGTTACAGATTTCTCCCCCACATCCACCCCCAACTCCAGTGTCACTGCAAGCCCTTATCATCTGTTCTCACTGCAGAGGATTCCCAGTACTTGCTAGGAAGAGCACAGATGAACTTCTCCCTGGATCCCTATTTATATATAAACAGCCTTCAGAAATAACTCTCCAGGCAAAGCATACCTTCTCAAAGATATCGCTTTTTCAACCTAACCTTCCCAAAGTTAGCAACATCGCATAGAATTAAGCAAAAGAATAATCTTAAGAGTTACTTTCAAATATTACTGACTACAAAAAATATTTCTTATTTGAAAACTAAATTCCTGTGTGCTCTAACTTACAACTGTTTAGTTCTTAAATTATAAGTAAATTCGCCTTATCCCAAGATAGCAAAATTCTCAAACTATATTTGAAAATTATTTTCTAGAAAATCCCCAAAGCAATCCATGTAGTTTGATTGTGTGCCTGAGTATAAAAGCACACACACACACACACACACACACACACACACACACCCCTTAGACACCAAGGTACATTTAGAAAATCCTCAGGAATATTTCTAATTTTAAAATAAATTTGACTTTTGCTGAAGTGGAAATATCAGGAAGTATTTCTGAACTCTTTTTATTACTGCAAGTAGCAAAAAACTATATATACTTATTCAATATTTGAACCTATTTAAAAATAAGTCCACTGCTTCAATAATAATTGCCAAGGAGAGCTGTTTTGCTAATTCAGTTTTTAAATTATGCAGAAACTAAATTAAAGACCAGTTAAGAAACAGATTAGACTTCTGTAATATTATTTCCTTATGCTGGATTCTTTGCATTTGTTTTATAATTGATTTAATATATGTAATTATTGCCTTGTGAAAAAATGATCATGTGCCTCAAGAATTTGGGGACAATCATTTGGGGATCTGGGAGTACACAGATGAAAATTACCTAAAGTGTACTGTATGGGTAAGGAAGATTTGTTATTATACGTACTCAGGAAAGTTCATTTTGCTATGTTATGCCTGTGAGAGTTTGTGCCATAGGAAAATAGTAATATCCTGTTAATACAGGGCTGCCCACCATGATCCCTGCCTATTGATATTCACCACCTCGTGTGGTACCTCCCACATGGTTCCAAGCTCATACTGTGTGTCCAGTATAGCAGAAGGGAAGATATGCCATTTCCAAAATTAAGTTTTAAAAGATGGTGGGTTTCGTCTTTGGCTTTCTCCTGATTTCTCTTTTGGGTAACTATCTCCAGGGGAAGATAGTTGCCATGCCAAGAAGACACCCAGCAATCTATAGGGAAGTCCACATAGTAAGGAACTGAGATCACATAGTAAGGAAGCTAGTTGTCATGCTAAGAAAACACCCAACAACTAACAATCTATAGAGAAGCCCACAAAGTAAGGAAGTAAGATCTCCAGCCTATAGCCAGCGAAGAATCCAGGCCTGCCAATAATCATGTGAGTGAGTTTGGAAGCTGATAACCACTTGCTTAAGGCTTCAGATAACTGTAGCCCCAGTTAACAGCTTCACTACAACCTCTTCAGAGACTCCGAGCTTGATCCACCCAGCTATGCCACGCCCAGACTCCTGACACTTGAAAATTGTGAGATAATAAGGATTTTATGTTTATTTGTTTTAAGTTGATACATTTTGGGATAATTTGTTATATAGCAATACATGGCTAATCCACAGAGAATGACAGCATTATGACTGCAAGTCTCTAGGACAACTATAGGGCTAGGGAGAAAGATACTGGACACTTTTTTCACTCTCTAAGAGAGTAGCTCTTAGTATTTTAAAGGTTAGGGAAACTTAAAAGAATATGATAAGCAATAATAACCAATAGAGACCTTTTACTTAGAATAATGTATACATGTTCATGAACATAATTTATAAATGACGTCAGGGGTTTCATTTAATCCTGGAAGTCATTCTATAAGTATAGTCTGGGTACAGGATGCCAATTTAAAATCCTGCCTTAGGATATCAAGTTAAAAGTAGTGCTAGAAACACACCCCTGCCCCACTCAAATTAGTAAAGCTAGAAGTGCTGGCCACTAGAGAGCCTACCAAAGGAGCTCACAGCTCTCTTGCTACAGAGAAAAGAAGGCACAGCATTTGAAAGAAGATTGCTAAATGATTTCATGGAATAGAAAGGCTATGACAATAGCTCCGTGTTTAAGCTTTCTTACATTTAAGTCTGCTTTTACTTTTTAAAAAATGTTAATACAGCATGCAGCTATAGAGGCTTCAAATAGGAACGCTTGCCTCAACTTTTTAATCTAGGACCCAGGTCCCTAGCTGTCAATCACTTTAACTGGGTGGTAGGGAAACACTGTGTAAGAAAAATCAATGCTGGCTCTATGACCTCTCACGTTGTGGACATGAGAATTGGTAAATGAAATAAGCAACACTCCTGTCATCTTCATCACAGCAAGCATCAGTGACAGACTTTCTGTCACCTAGCTCTCAAGTGTTAAACAACGTGGCACAATGTTTTTTTAAAAAAGCAATAATTTGTCTTGTGCATTATCTGTGTGATTAGTATTTGTTTTGCAACACAACAACTCATTTATAAACTACTTGACTTGTCAGAGCCAGAGTGTGAGGGAAAGTTTTGTGTGTGTGTGTGTGTCTGTGTGTGTGTTTGTATGTATGCAAGAGGCCAAGAAGGGAGGGAGAAAGAACAAGAATAAAATATAAACTAGCTTTCAGAAAACATTTCTCACCATGAAAGTCCCAGACAGGAACATACTGCCTGCATGCTGTCCACTGCAGGCCTCCTTATCCCATCGGGACTAGGAGAGATTCTCTTACCACTTCATTCTTGTATTCAGCAAACACAATTAAAGATCCACCATGGGCCAGGCTGTGTTTTGCACCATCAAAAACCCTGATTACAAAAAAAGTCTAAGTAACCCACATATAGGCAGAATCTTCTAGAATGGCATTCAGACCTCCAACCATGGTGACCTCCATCTCCCTCTCTCACACCCTCCTGATTTCAGAACCTCCGGCCAGATTATTCAGTCGTCAAAATTCTATTTTAGTATGTTCAAGAAAGGTGGCAGGTGGGTGGGGTGGAGGAGTATAAGTGTGAAAGAAGTGTGGTGTTGGAGGAAGCTGAACCTTCCCTGCAGCTTAATATTAAAGCTGGAGGATCAGAGAAACTAGCTTTGGCCTGAAACCTCCAAGCACAACAGTCTTACTCCATGCTACGCACTGAAGCCTAGATCCAGGCTGGATTTGTGTAGCCCCCAGGAACAAATCGCAGCAGGAAGTCGGATGCACCACCTGATTTAGCAAAGCTGGGAGTGTTGGCTACAGAAGACTCTCAAAACGGGAGCTCCTGCTTCCACTTCTGCATAGGGAAGAGCCCACAGCATTTGAGGAGGCTGCCAGATGATCTCATAGAACGACAGCACTATAGCAATTGCTTGCCCTTTTAACTTCCTTGCATTTAAATCCAGCCTGTATTTATTTTCTCACCTTTTAATTTTTATTTAATTTAACTGAATTTTATCTTGGCCATAGTGGGTAAAGCATAAAAAAATCCCAACCAAATTTTCTTTGATTTGATCTGAAATTGAGGGGAAAATGAGTATTGTTGCCTAACTTTACTATAATGAAATATCTGTATTTGCTAAGAGCCCAGAGAATAATATTCTTTGTATGCGTGCACGTGTGTGGGATCAACAGATTCTCTCTTCTTTGCAATTCTTTCGTCTGAACAATGTTGGCATCAAAAAGAATACAACACTAGGTAATCCGCTGGCTAATGTGGACCGGAAGGCATTTCTTCCTAACTGACTGCCCACATCTCTCTGTATTTAAGGTCTATTTTACTGAGCAAAATGATACTTCTATATGTCCCCACCAATTACATCCTAGGAACACACCCAAACCTTTGCCTAGTTTTCCATTGCTTTCCTGAACCGGGTCCTCTTCCGAAAACACCTGTAGTTTGCTGCAGTTTGATTTGTTCCCTGGCTCCAGCCTTCTTATTCCTGCCAGCTCACTGCCTGGGGAATGAGGCTGCCTTACTGCTGATGGAAGGACCGCACTAAAGAGGCAATTAAAACAACTACTCACATCGTGTGCAAATATTCTCTCCCTCACTCTCTGATATTCCTCTTCTCTCTCTTCAATTGATTTACTTCGTCTGTCATCTCTAAATGGATGCATTCTGTTTTGCTGAACAGAAAAAAGAAATCAGGAGGGTTATCTAAGTTGGGTTGTTAGAAAACTGCAGTTAAGCAACTGTCAGCTGAGAATAATAAATGTTCATTTAAATAAATGGAGCCTGAAAAGTCCTCACCATCTCTGGTCCCTATGGAGGCTGTGTGGAGGTGTATGTATTGCGTGTGCACGTGACATGCAATGACAGCTGGTGTTTGCTGCTCCTGCTTGCTTCCTCACTGGATGAAAGTGGTACAGGTGTTTCCAAATGAACACACCTGAATGTGCCTCAAGGTGTCCAGCCAGTTCAGGTACAGAGTGGCTCACCAGTGATGGACTCTGTCTCTCCTGCTTAGCAGGGTGCTTTTCCCAGAAGGAGGCAGAATGCTGATGGGGAAATAAAAGGGGAGTGGCTCGTTCAAGGCAGTTGAGGGAGGAAACAGCTTTGAAAACTCAGGGATTGGAGAAAGAACAAGTTGGCAAAAAAAGTAATGGACAGAAAGGAAGACGTGAGTGACACTGTTTCTCTGTCTCATAATTTGTGGGTTTTATTCACTCAGTGACTGATCCTGTGAATTGTATCTGGCATAGAAAGTATAACCTCAGGCTTATATGCTAAATTTTGAAAACCTGTTTGTTGATAAGGGCAAATCCCCCCAAAAACTAACAATTCAAAGAACCCAGCATGAGGACTGGTCTTTATCCTCTCATCTGACCCACTTCCTGTGTCTCAACCACCTTCCCATCTTACCCTTGCCATTCCTCACCAAATGCTCTGCACTAGCCGCATTCACCCATCCATTCAACAGACACCCACGGAGTACACGACATAGGCACATGTTCACAGTCAACACGAGCCATGATGTAGCTTGGTGACGGTGGGAGGAAACGAGATACAAATGATGAACAAGTTTTCCAAAAGGTGCACCAGAGATGCACATGCTGGCTCACAGTGACTCACCGAGAGTGATTAAAATGATAACTTGAGTGAGATGCGTATTGTCTTACCTTTAAGAATTCTAAAGCAAAGTCATTTTCAAAAAATCTATTTTGATTGTTGGAGACACAAAGTATAATTGTAATGGCATTTATATGACTTTCTACTGTTCTTATTATAGTTTAAAATTTGTTTTCTTCTGCCATTTACTTAGTTTCTTTTCCTAGTCACCCTGGATCCCACACCTCCCCCCACCCCATCCAGAGAAGAGATTTAGTAAAGTCTCTTTACCCTTTGCTCAGGTACCACGGATAAGGCTACTCTAGAACAACGTAGTGTTTGTCACAAGCAAAATACACAAGGATAAAATTCTGCTACAGTTCATGCAAAACAAGCAGACAATTTACATGGACCATAAAACATGGGAAGGAGAGGAGGTAAGGAGACTAAAACATGAACTCAATTCTTTTCTGTGAAGACTTATTTTAGGATAGTTGCAAAATCCACCTGTCCTCACCATAACAAGGTTTGTTCTTTACGGCTACACCGGTTGATCATCGGTCCGTATTGATAATCCAGCTCAATTTGTGCACAACTGAAGGACAAAGCTGTAGGGAGTGGAACGACTGCCATAGTTACACAGACATCTGGAAATGCGACTGACAAAGCTTTTCCCCACAGCTCGGAGCCTGTGGCATCCCAACCCCCCCAAGACATGCAGCAGGGACTGCGCCAAGCACCACCCATGCAGCCCAACACAGAGCCATTGCTAAAGCAACCAGGGCATGTTTTTTTGCTACCCATTTAATGCCAAAGGGAAAACGCAAGGATGGGCAGGGAGGCTGGAGAGAGGACAGTAGTATCAGAGGAAAGGGATGGCTGGGAGGGAAGGCGGGGACAACAGAGGAACGACAAGAACATCAGTCAGCCCACCTTCAAAAACAACAATGTCAGCCACTCTCAAACTTGAGAACCAACCTGATTGTCTTCTTTATCAATACTAGAGTTATCTCGCTTCAAGATAAACCGCTTCTGGGATTCTTCACCTTTTTCATCTTTTAAATGTTCACAAAACCTTTGCTCTGGTCTGCCAGCAAAGTAAAACATATCAATAAAAAAGGTTTTTTCCCCTTGTTTAACGTTAATTCTTAGTGTTGTTTTTTTTTCCCCCACAGTGGCATTTAACTTAAAAAAGTTTACAAGTGGTTTTGATACGAGAGTTGCTGGCAATATATGGGTAGGTAACAACATGTCGCTTCACATGCGTTGTTAGAATACCTTTTGTTGTTTTGAACTCAGGGTTATGTTTGCTGCATGCTGCTCAGAATGGCTGAAGTTAAAAAAAAATTAAAAGGTCTGCACATATATAGTGTATAGATGTCTTCCTTAATTTTGACCTCCTTTATGCCTCCAAACAAGTTCCCGCCCATATTATCAAACAAATTCACATGTTTAGAACTTGTGAGTATCACATTAATTCACCAATGCTTGCAAACTGAGAGGACATCTCCCATCTTAGCCTCCCTTTCAAGAGTCTTTTGAATTCGTGGTGAGAGAGGATCATTTAAAAATTATTTCTGTCTTTCTCCAAATGCTCCGGAATCTGGCTCTGGCAGACGATGATATCCTTGACTGTGTCTTGTAAATCAGTTCAGTAATTGGGGAAACTGGAGGCATTTAGTTTGAACAACTTAATGACTGATTAGCATGGGGAAAATGCTCCAAGCAGTTGCACACTATTGATTAGTCAATTGATTTTTTTAGGTCCTCTTAATCATTTGGTATTATTAGAGGAGAGGGCTCCACTTACTTGTTAATTTCCCACGATTGTCATTGCATGCCACAGAAGTCAATGAATGACTTGGGCTTGGGTTCATCCTCAGAGAAAGTGCTAAAATGTTTGTTCTTGGTTTAGAAACAATTGTAATGTATGACTCTCATTAAAAAGAGGCTCTGTCATGTCTGATGTATTACTTCTGAAGCCTACAAAGTTTTCTGTCCCTACCGGTTCATTATGCCTTGAGTCAAGAGGAAGCCACTTCACAGTGTCTATTGTTTATGCAGGTGACCAGTAATTAATAGAATCTCATCATAAGCTTCCAGCTCCAAAATAAGCAAGTAGCATTTTAAAAACAAAGCAGTAGTTTAAATATATAATTCAAATTTTGATGCATTATTTCCTTAAACATATGTACATAAATCATAATAATATTGGTGAGCAGCCAATAGCAGAAAACTGGAATAATACCAGTTATAGTTTTGAGAGCTGTGTATATTTTTTGCAAAGTAGTATCATTATCTTATTTAATCCTTACACTAAAAGTTTGATGCAGCACAAGTAAATATTTTTTGTCTCTTTTGAAGACAAGAAAACCATCCCTCAGTCATTCTGTTGACTTCAAATTATGGATTTGCGCACTAAGCAACAAGTGTCAAACAGCCTGATTACATCTTCACAGAGACTCAGTTCAGTTCCTCTCTGATTGCACAGCACACAGTGGGCTAGAGGCCCTCAAACCCCAAATTAAAGAACTAAACAGGCCGGGGTGGGCGAGGTGGCTCACGCCTATAATCCTAACACTCTGAGAGGCCGAGGCAGGCTGATTGCTCGAGGTCGGGAGTTGAAAACCAGCCTGAGCAAGACCCTGTCTCTACTAAAAATAGAAAGAAATTAATTGACCAACTAAAAATATATACACAAAAAATTATCTGGGCATGGTGGCACATGCCTGTAGTCCCAGGAAATTGAGGTTGCTGTGAGCTAGGCTGATCCCATGGCACTCACTCTAGCCTGGGCAACAGGCAACAAAGTGAAACTGTCTCAAAAAAAAAAAAAAAAAGAACTAAACATCTCCATTACATTATCCTAATGATCAATGTAAACACCTTCTACCAGACTTAAAATGCATTAAAATAAAACCAACAACCAGAAATGCCAATATGACATTTTAAAATTAGAACAGTAAAATAAATTTGCCCTTTACAATGAAGAGGTCATTTATAGTAGAGAACTTGTGATGCAGCACAGTCACAATATACTTCAATTACTTACTGTACTGTAAGGTCTTATTATTGTGTATAGTTGCAGGTCACTGTAAATGATAACAATTCTCCAGAATTTTTTTAAGCATCCCAACATTTTTCCAACCAATGCTTACATTTTGTTACACATGATATTTTCCCTAGCAAGTGAAATTAAGATGTTGATTCAAATATAGATGTTGATTGTATCAATGCTAATTAGGTCTCTTCTAATAGCCCTAGGCTCTGTAGTCTGATAAACTCCAGTGAATGAAATGATTTGCTTACTTTTAAATTTACAGATATATTCTTTGTATTTGCTTGTAATAGCCTGTAATTATTCATTCAGAATGAGAATGTGGACTTTTTGATTCATGAACATAAGGTGAATTTGTTTCAGCTTAACTTCTTCTTTTAAATGAAAAGCATCAGAGTGAGATTTCAGCATACTAACCAGAATGTAAGTTTCATGTGGGTAAGGACTTTGTCTTTTTTTTTTTTTTAGTTCTTAATCCTTAGTGCCTAGGAACCATGCCTGGCACATGGTAGGCATTTGAATCAATGAATAAATTAATGAATGTGAATGAAAATTTAGCACAGCTGTTCATAAATCACTATAATTTAGAGACAGATCAAAAAAAGTCACTTAATAAGATATGAGGTCATAAATCCTACAATTATAAGACAAAACAGAAGAGAGTTGGTTAGTGGAATTATAAATTAAAATTTAGAACATTAGGAAGACCTCTAAAAATCAGATTTATGTTTCAGTTCATATTGGCCAAAATGAATCAGGTTACCAAAAGGTTTTTTTAAATCTGAGGGTATCTTGGGAAGAAAGGGAGGTGGAAATGGGAATCTCAGGTCTCTTAGTTTCGGCACTTCTAAATTTGAAGAGTCATTGTAGCTATAAGAGAGCTATTTAAAGATTATTGTTATAATTTTATTTCCATTTCTTAACAATAATACTTTATTTGTTTTTCATAGCATGATGTATTTAGGAAAAATATAGGCCATCATATAACCAAGGAGTAATCAAAAGGCTTATTCTAATCCATATTGTAAACTTTGTTTAGAACAAGAATATTTCCTACTCTGACATAAATTGTGCAAAGTGCATTCTCAACTGTTTTTCAAATATCTTGTTTAGATTTTTTTCAAATACTAGAACCTAATAGTTCAAATTATTAATTCCTTTATGTTTTTCCAAAAATATTTTGAATGATCATAAAATAACCATTTGACATTTGCTGAATAATAATTAAGTAAACATAATAACATTTTTCAAAATTGACTTTATAGAGAATTACTTATGATTTTAGAGCTAAAGAGCAATTTGCAGGTTAAGCTCATGCAAACTAAGTTATGCAATACCTAAGTGTTGCAAGTGATTATTCTAAAAATTACTGGTAGTGCACTATTATATTATAGCTTTTAAAAATCCCTTTCACAACTAATTTACCACCATAGCAATATTATTTCTAAGCAATAAAATGAATAGAACTAAAATAATGTATAATGGATCTTTATATAAAATGGTAATGAATTACTTTTATGTATTAATATGTGAATGTAACTGGAAGAAAAATTTCTCAAAGCTGCAAAAAAGATCATGGTATTTATTAAATTAATGATGATCAGACTTTACTACATATCTCATGTCCATGCATCATACAGGCCTAATTTTTTCTTTCCTGGGGGATTTTAGGCCATGAGGTGTTACTGCTAGCTTTCTCTATATTATCATCAAAAAGCACAGAAAATAAATGTAATGCTTATTCTGGATCAAAAATAGTTTCCTCTTCTCAAGGTAAAGCTATGGCTTTCCAGAATTTGTAGCACATATCTACTGTGAAACACATTGTTCATGTGTGGTGAACAGAACTGGCATTTCCAGTCAATTTCTTGGCATCTCCAGTCTAACCCTTGAAAAGTTAGAATTAACTGCCCATTATTCCTTAATGAGATGTAGCTCACGAATTGAGAAGCAGCATGGCTGAGTGAAGACAATCAAACTCTGTCTTCTAGTCAATCAATTCCAAATTTAGTTTTTTCCCCTTGAAGCTTGAAATAGATGAACATTCATTATTATTATTTTTTAAATCTTTTTTATCTTGAAATATTTTCAGCAGTTTACCTTCACTGCCAGGTTCTTGAAACCAAATTTATTACTTTTCTTCCAAATTGTTAAGCTTAATCCCTCCCTTCTTCTCCATACATAAATGAAGAATTTAATTCTATTAAACATGGAGGGTCACAAAGGCAAGTCTTTAAATTTCATCCTGAGTAACTGAAAGGTGGTCATTAATATGCATAAGTATCTCAACAAAGAAAGGTTTCTGTCTACAACAGGATAAAATATTTTGCTAGTGTGAGACACTTATCAAAACTATTTTAATAATAAGACATTAGAGAAATCTAATGGCACTTTTCCTTTAACATTTGAAACTTTCAATTAAAAATGTTTACAATATTGATGTTTTTATTGGAAAATTTAAAAGGAAGTTCTATATTCTTCTTCATAAATAAGTATATTTCATGATTTCTATTATCAGTTTGTCATTTTATGCCATTGCATTCTCTTTTAAATGAGAACATACCTTACCAATCTAATATATACAGTGCTTAATAGCTAGCTTCCTTTATTAGCATCTTTCATACTCAACAACTCTGCAAATTCATTTCATTCTTCTCTCTTTCTATAGTGCTATAGATATAAGTAGAGACATGCAAACTAGCAAAAACACTTTGACTCCCTTTAATATAAAACTATTCGTGAACAGTAACAATTAAGCAGAATACTCAAAGCAACATGTGTCTGTAAGACATTTCTTAAATTGGTAACACTGCTCTGGCAAACAATTTGGCTATGTGGATTAAGAGACTTAAAATGTAAAACTATTAATCTGCCTTGACAAGGTGATTTTATTTCTAAGAATGAATCCAAAGGAAAGAGTAATAAATGAATATAGAGTTATATCATTTGCAAGAACAAAACAGTGAAAATCTATATTAGTTTGGGTAAGTAACTTAAAGCATATAATATGTAATATGCAAATTTATAAA